GAAAAAAGTTTAAGTGGGATTGAAATTTGAATTTCAATTATACGAAATAATAAAAAAAAATGAGACAAAATTTACTATGGTTTAACACCAACCAGAAACATCTCTGAAAAAGTACAAATCAGTTTGTCTTCGTAAACGGACATTATGTTGTGTACTCTTTCATTCAATGCTCGGTACTTTTTTTTTTGTGAACTTATGACCATTCGATGCATCAAAAAAATTTACTTTTTGTGCGGAGGCGTCTTTTTGCAAGCTACCCACTACTTTCCACATATTTGGGTGGGTTCCGCTGAATTAGGATTGGATCTCGAAATGCCATCCTTCGACAGCATTTGTTGTTCGAGCAATCCCACTCACGGCCGCATCTCGCTGGTTCCAAAGGGAGGGTTGGAATAAAACTTCACGGTTTGGTACCAAGCTTTTTATACAAGTAGAGCCAAAGTACAGACGCAGCTCGTCAGTTTTCTCATTTTCTTATGAGTTCTAAACAATTTCTCACGCATAAATTCTGAGTTTCCTGAACGATCATATAGAAATCGCCGATCTTTTCTTTTTTTTTTCAAATGCAATCGCCACCTGCTCAAAATTGCCGACAGTATTTCAAATACTTGTTCTGTTCAAAAATAAGTTTTTCAATTGGCTGTAAATTTGTTCAGATTGAGTTACGTTCCAGCTTTTTAAGTTTGTTCTTTTGGCTCCCCCTTTTGAACTCTAATTTACTTAATACCATACAATTTCACTCACTACTTGTTGTTGCCTTAGCAATTTCACCTTGCTACATTTTAAAATCATTTCTATAACTTAACATCGGTTTAATTCAAAATGAAAAGAAAACTTACTACAAATGGGGCTTCGGTAAACATCAAAAAATTAAAAGAAAGACATTTTTGCCATTAAAAGCCAGACAATTTTGCGCAAATTAATTCGCGTAAGTTCTGATCAGAAATGACCTTGCCAATGATTTCAATGAATCGTTCCAAACCGAAATGAATTGGCCTTGCCAATTTTTTCAATGAATCATTTCAAAATGAACCAAAAACAAGCAATAGTTCAATGAACTTCAAAAACCCGCAAATAATTAGACGGCTTTTGACTAATATGGCCTAATTTTCCAGTCATTTTCAGCCGGTATAGAAATTTGAAAAAGGTTTAACCAGGCCATAAGCCTAAAATTTATTCTTTTTTAGAATCATTCTGGAACTTAAACTTATAACCTGATCGCTTTGTCAGCTTTTTTGAACTGTTGGCTCATAAACGCAAAGCTTAAGGGTTTGCCAGCCTCTAGTCCCAACCTAGCATCCCGAAAATAAGGGCGATCGTCCTGGGATTAAATTGCTTAGGCACTAGTCAAGTTCTTGCGTTAGGTTCCGTTTCCGGGAGTCTGCAAGGAAATGTGTTTTCCAAACAAGCTGAAAAAAGTTTAAGTGGGATTGAAATTTGAATTTCAATTATACGAAATAATAAAAAAAAATGAGACAAAATTTACTATGGTTTAACACCAACCAGAAACATCTCTGAAAAAGTACAAATCAGTTTGTCTTCGTAAACGGACATTATGTTGTGTACTCTTTCATTCAATGCTCGGTACTTTTTTTTTTGTGAACTTATGACCATTCGATGCATCAAAAAAATTTACTTTTTGTGCGGAGGCGTCTTTTTGCAAGCTACCCACTACTTTCCACATATTTGGGTGGGTTCCGCTGAATTAGGATTGGATCTCGAAATGCCATCCTTCGACAGCATTTGTTGTTCGAGCAATCCCACTCACGGCCGCATCTCGCTGGTTCCAAAGGGAGGGTTGGAATAAAACTTCACGGTTTGGTACCAAGCTTTTTATACAAGTAGAGCCAAAGTACAGACGCAGCTCGTCAGTTTTCTCATTTTCTTATGAGTTCTAAACAATTTCTCACGCATAAATTCTGAGTTTCCTGAACGATCATATAGAAATCGCCGATCTTTTCTTTTTTTTTTCAAATGCAAGAGAAGGCAGCATTTTTTAAGCCACCGTTAAATCGTGATTCGTCTCGTGGGTCGTTTTTAGACCCAATTCTTTAATTTTTCTCATGTAGCTCTGGGAGAGATGGAAAAAACAGCCCAATAAATGTGCTCCGGCGAATGTTTTTTGGAAGGACTGAAGAATTTTTTCAGGCAGGCAGTTGGGTGCTAAATCAATTAACGCCTGCAAAAGGCGATTGTAGTTTTTTTTTCGTTTTTGTTAGGAAAGAAGGCGTAAATGCCAAATGGCGCAATGCCAGATACACTAACTTGAATTGAATATAGCTGATAGAACATTTTTGGAGTAATTTTGAAAGTTCCATAATCTAACCAGAAAATTGTTGACTTCTCCAGAGTTCTCAGCATTTTTGGGTCGCCGCACAAAATGATTCGCTCGTGATCATTTGATCCACTGTCATACTGGATAAAATATCCTGGGATCTCGAAATTTTCGCGCAACGGGGATGGGTGGCATATTTACTTCTAGCTGCTTACGTGTGCGCGCAGCCGCCGGATCAGTTTGTCTTAAGTTGAGAGGCAAAACTGAGTGACATAATCATTTATAACTGACAAAACCGCATTGGCAACTGCGACAGTCGTTGTAAATCTCTCGCTGAGATCTTTTAAATGCTTTGACTTTTCGGGCTTCTGATTTTCCTGCTGACATTTCATGGTTATGCTCTCCACGCGTCTCAATCAATTTGTTATTTTTTATAATGGCAGTTGCTCGACATTAATGTGTTTGATATTTTGAGCAAATCTTGTTTTCGCTAAACTTATTTTTTCGCTTGAAATAAAATTCGTGGCCGGACGCTATAAGAATTGGCTTGTTTTTAGATGAAATTGTGAATTCGAAAGAAGACTCAATCATAATTTGTTTATCGTGTTTGCGTTTGTTTATTACTTGAGTATAGTATAAAGTGACTGACAGAGTTTCATATTTGTCAGAAATGTTAAGTCAAATTGTTATGAATTAGCACAAGCAGGTTTTTTTAGTGATCATAATGGTTTAGCGAAAAAATCGAAATGAAAATAAATTACGAACTTGTCGATAAGATTTTTAAGTAATTTAGGAAGCCTCATTTTAGCATGTATAACTAAAATAAACCAAGTTTTTTATTATGGTGCATGCGTTAATTGCAGGATTCATTTTGGTGTGATAAGAGTTAAGATGAGGAATTCGTACGGCATTATTTTTAGTAGTAAAATGACTAGGTGTTAAAATGTACGGTGTTAAATTGTACGGTATTAAACTGTTGGACACCGTTATTTTCTATGTCTTCGGCCTCAAAGAACTCGATGAATATTAATTGACTCAGTGGACTTTAATTGCGTCGTTTCTTGAGCAAAAAAGCTTTTTTATGTGTTAGTGTTTTGAGGAAAGAATTAATTTTCTAAATGTTTAAATGTAAGTTTTTTCGTCTGAACTGGTGTGTGCAGTAGCATATTTAAAAAGGCCGACCCAAAGGGTAACCCTTTGTACTTTTTTGAGATATCCATTTTTGGCTGGCTGACCTTAAACTTCACTGAGCCAATCAATATCAACAGAGTTCTTTGAGGCCGAATAAATAGAAAAGAAAAAACTAAAAAAGCTGGGCACATTTACAATCATTTGAAATTTTTTTCGAATAGAACATGTATTTAAAATACTGTCAGCAGTTTTTGAGCAGTTGGCGAAAGAATAGATTTGAAAAAATGACTGAGTGTTCTGTTCTCCAAGTTTTTTAAGTAGACAAAAGTCTACGTTCAGATTTAAAAACGCTTGCTAATCGCTTAAATAACTTATGAAGCAAAAATCTATTCAGAGTTAAAATTTGAAAATAACAAAAATTGAATTCATTATCAAAAATAATGTATCAATTCATAAATTATTTAACCTAATTCGAAACAACGCGTAGTGCTACAAACATGAACCATTTTTGGCTGACTGACCTTAAAGTCCACTGAGCCAATGAATATAAACTGGGTTCTTTAAGGCCGAATAAAAAAAGAACAAACTAAACATTTTTGGCTGACTGACCTTACAGTTTTTCTAAAGGCTCCTTTGGCGCGAATATACGAATTGTGAGGGGGGAGCGCGCGTCAAAAAAAAGATTTTTTGGTCGAAGTTTTACAAAAAGTGCATAAAAACTCCTTTTTTGGTCTGTTTTTTTGAAGACCTTGCCTGCGGCGCAGAAAAATTGGTCAATATAGGGTCTTTGTAGTGATTTGGGAGAGCTCAGAAAATCAATTTGATCGACCTGAAAAAAGGTCGATGAAATTTTCAAAATGTTTTTGAAAAGCCGCCCCCACTCGAAAATTTCCTAGATCCGCGCCTGGGTGTGTGTGCTGAGAAAGGGTTGTCTTTGTAAGAGCTCCTAGGTTTTGTTCCGATGCTAAATTGTTACTCATGTGAAATTTTTGATAGATTTGTTTTCTTATCATTTTCAGCTTCTGTCTCATTATCTGTCAGCTAGTTTTCAAGATTCTGTTTTTGATATTTTGCTAGTGGTGCGAAGACACATTTTGGATCTGTTTTTGTTAGTTTTGCTTGAGTTTCAGGAGTTTGGATACTTCTGGTTGAATTTTTGAAACAGTATGAAATTTTTGCTTTTCTAGAAAAGATTTCCGAAATTTTGTAATTTTGTGAGTTTTTCAACGAAGCTTCACTTTTTGTGTCTTACCACTCACGCTTTTAGTTATGCGAAAGCATTTGATGGAGTTTTTAATACTCCAAATATCTCTAATGGTTTAGTTAGTTTATCTCACTTACATTTTAACTAGTAATTTCAACGAAGTTTTTCGTCGCTTGGCATTTTTGTCGAATGAGAAAGCCCTGAATAGAGGTTTCTATTGTAAATGAACTGAATGTTTGATTCAATTGATAAGGAATATTTGAAAAGAATATAATAAATTCCCAGTAAATTAAATCATTCAACCGATTCGAAAATATATAAAACATGGTTTTTTAAAACATGGTTTTTTGAAATTTTCCGCTGTGTTATTGAGTTTGTTTGTTTTTCAAGCATTTGTTTGAACCGTGTCGCTATCTTATGTTGAGCTCTGATGTGCTGGTTTGGCGAGCAGACTCAATAAATAATTTTTACGAGGCAAATCGAAGAATATTACAGCTCACAATAAGTTCAGCTCGTCAGGCGAAAAACGAGTCGATGAAATGTGCTGTTTTCGACTGTCCTTCAAACTCAACTGTAATTGGGACAAATCTTATTGGGAACAATACAAGTTTTAGCGATGAAGTTAAAAATAAGAAGAACGAATCAGTAAAAAATAATGTCATCGGCAGCGATTGCCACATTGGAAAATCGAAATTGATTGGATGTGTGCTGTTCAGCAATGTAGTTATCGGCAACAATTGTGTCCTGGAGAATTGCATTTTGGCCAATCACAGTAGAGTAGAAGATGGCTGTGAAATGAACAACGTGCTAGTCGCTGCTTCGCAAACTGTGCAAACCAAATCTAAATTGAGCCATGAAACAGTAAAGAAAATTGTACAATTTCAATAAACTTATTTAAATCTATTTGAACTGATCGGAAGGAATAAATTTCAACTATTTAAAGATTATCGATTAATATATGGCTGTGTTGATAATTAGTTTTTTCAGTTCAAAAATGCTTAGCGATTCAAAATTAATTACCCAAGGCTCATTCGCACAGTGAGGTGAAGAATGTCAAATGAGTGATTTGAATGATATTAATCTGCAGAAGACACAACTTGATAGTTGCTAGTGTAATCAGAGACATCAGCCAATCAGTTTCGAATATGGGAACTGTTCGTTTCCGGTCCTCATCTTTCGACCCTAAACTCCTCATTTCACAGATCATCAGCATGCAGTGTCTATACTACCTGTTTACATGTACCCTGCTACTCTCGCTCTCCCTTGCGTTTCCACAACATGGGATCAGTCTGCAACACATTCTGTCTTACAGAGCAGTCGGTTTGTCTTCCGTCTCGGAGAGAATCAACTCTTGTCTCTTCGTCATCAATTCCCTTTTCATGGCACTCTCAATATGGCTCTTAGTTGGTAAGTTAGATAGCCCTTTGTGAACATCATAAGTAAGATAATCTTTTCTTACCAAAATTGTTAAACACAATATGGAGGCTTTATAGTTATTGCCAAATTGTGGCAATATGATTTTTGTCAACGAATCTGAACGAAGTTAATTAATAAATATCAAAAAAAACTCTTCCTATGACGGCGGAAATCAACTTTTCTTTCGTTTGAACACATAAAAACTTTATTTTAACAAGTAATATCTTCTACCAGTTAAGATGCTCAAGTTTGAACCCGTTGCCTTCAGTAGTATTGTATCGTGTCCCGGATCCTAAGGGGGGGGGGGGGGGTCCTTCCTAAGGGGGGGTCCTCACGTAAAGTAAAATCCTAGGAAAGGGGTCCTTAATTTTTTGGAGGACCCCTATCCTAGGATTTTGTAAACGAAAGAAATTTTCCACCCAAAAAGCAGAAGACCCCCTACTTAGGATCTTGCTAAGTTTAGCTTAACAACAAGGGACACGATACAAAATTCTTTCTAATTCCAATTTTTGGGGTCCTAATTATTGGTCCTGGTTAATTATATGAATCATGTTAATTGTTATATTTGTTTCGGGCAAATGAACTTTCGACCTAGTTGAAATTTGTTAGTGAACGGGGAATTGACTTTTATGGTATATAATAAAAATTGGCCGGCCATTTCGGCAGCGTAGCTTAACTGTTGGCAGCAGTAAACTAATTCCTTAACTTGACCTAAATTTTATGGTGAAAAGGCAGTACATTGAAATTACTCTCAAAAGGCGGCGGCCGTTGCTGGGCAAAATATACCAAATGATAAATTTGACAAATTTTGAAATAAGAAAAATGAAATTAGAGGGAACTTGGTGTACTGAAGATATTGATAATGAGCATTTACAATTAAGAGTGTTTTCAACCGCAGAAAAAAACTCATTTTTCAAATTTAGTAATGAACGCTACGTCGTCTTCCTCGAAAGGGCAAAGGAAATTTCAAAGAAAGAATACGAGTTAATTTTCAAAGAACAATTTTATTTGAGTGAGCTTCAACAAATCTCTTGGTGCATTTCTACAAAACAACAGTATGGTACTGTGAGCGATTTGAATTTTGCTGATTATGAAAACATATTCGACTATTCGTTTGATTTTACCTCAAAAAGGGTTGATAAAGACTTGGAGAGAAAAATCCGTCTATGTTTCAACAAGCTATCAAAATACAAGAAACTTCCGGTGGTTTATTTAATTATTTACCACCGTTATCTTAATGAGACTAAATGGTATTTGCAAGGTCACTTTTATTTCCACTGGCTTGAAATTCAGCAGGTTGGAGAGGTGTTGGAAAAAATAAATAATGAAATTGCAAAAAAGCAGAGTAACTCCTATTGATTTGAAAATAATTCACGAAATTTATACGTCTTTGAAACAAACTTATCCTGATAATTCTAACCGACGCAACTATTTTCTAGCTGCATGTTCTCTGTTTTTTGTTAGTTCTGATAACCTTAACTACGACATTTTAATTAAGTTGAGACCTTATGGTGGCTTGATTGGTATTGATAACTCTTCCTTGGACAAATACTTGAAAAATTCCAAAATTTTACGATTGCACGCTATTTTGCACGATGCGGCCGGATTTATACACGAATTTTATCAACAGGGTCCCACGTACTGTTACATGTTGCCCTGGAACTGTAACAACAGCTTATTGGGACATTTGAGTGGAATAGCGTTCTGCCTTTTCATTAAGTTGAAAAAACCAGAAGTTTATCATTTACTAGAATGCTAGGCGAGAGATCAGTTGTGCTTGACGTGGAAGGCTTTCGTTACAAGAAAAACGCCTTTGTGGTTAAAGAATTAGCAATAACAACTTCAGACTACAGCGATCGACTCATTTTCCTACCTCCAGTGAATTTCAATATACTACCAAAGCTTGAACAAAAAGCTTACAACTGGTTAACAAATTATTTACACGGTCTCCATTGGGAAAACGGTGATTATCTTTATATAAACTTGAATCAAATACTTCAGAGTTTTGTGCTGAGAAATCCCTGTGCCGTTTTTTACGCTAAAGGAAAAGAAAAGACAGAATTTTTGGCCAAGTACTTGGACCGAAAGATTGAAAACCTAGATGATTTGGGCTGTCCTCGGGTTGAAAACTTATATTTTAAAAATTATCCAAGTTGCAATAAACATATTCCACATTACAACTCCAGGAATCATTGTGCCCTGAAGAAAACCAAGGTTTTTTATGATTGGTTGAAAAATGAACAACAGCGAGAGATCAGCGAAAGTGGAGACATACCTATCACCAAATTCAATGCTTTGTGCGTGGATGACTCCAGAGGGTGATATTAAAATTTCATTAACGAGAATAGAGCGTATTGATTGCAGTGGCCAAATTGTTCAGAGGAAGGAGCAAATAATAATTTCCGAAGAAGAGTTGTCTACGTTGAAGAGGTTTTTTCCAGTTATTCATCAATTTGTATACTTCCAGAGATTCAAGTTTATCAGAAATGTTAGCCAGCAAGCGAGGAGTATATCTTCCCGAACTAGTCTTAGTACCCAAACGTCAGCCAGGAGTTCAGATGGATCTAAACAGCAGTGAATTGCCAGATGAGATTAAGACGATTGTGAAAGAGGATACTGTGAAGAAAATAATGTACTACAAAAAAACTGCAAATATCCCAGCAAACTTTGTTTTAGAAATGCATGACATAAATGATAGAGATTTCACACGTTATGAAATTTTTTACTGTTCTCAAAAGTAATTTAATTTACAAGCTTCATTCACAGAGAGAAAAAGTCTAACACAGTCTGTTGAATAAATAGTTTCTCAAATATCAGAAGCAACAACAGCAGTAGATGAACCTGACGCAACATTAGTAACAGAATTTGTTTATAACGAGACAAACAGTGAAAAAAAATCATGGAAGTTTTGTAACAATGTAACTTTGCCAAGGTCTGAAGTAGTTTTTGTTGCGCAAATGGTAGTAATTCTAATTTTACTAACTTTCTGCATTCTCAAACTTTCTTTCACTAAATTAAGTTGCGAAGAAACGTCAGTTTGGTTCTCGATTTTATCAGGCTTGGTTGGTTACGTACTACCAAACCCAAGAATATGAATAAAGTGATTGATACTTCGACAAGAATTTTTATGGCGATAGTGGGACCTTCAGGATCCGGGAAAACTGAGTTAATTTTGAAACTTCTGATGGGAAATTTTTTTTACCCTAAATTTGGAACCGTTCTATATCTTTACAAAGAGATGCAACCTGCATTCTCAGAAAAAGTGTCTTCTCGCGAAGTGAATGTGGAGTTCATGAAATTCGACGGATTCGAATCTGTGAGAAAATTAGAAAATGTTCTTCTAGTTTTCGATGATTCATGTGAAGACATCTATAATGACAAGGAATTTGTTAGGTTAGCGACAGCGGGTAGACATAGAGGGATAGATGTAATATATGTTAAGCATAACTTGTTTCAACAAAGTCGATGGTCGCGCACGATTGATTTGAACACTTCACACATCATTCTGTTCAAATCGCCTCGCGACGTTCAGCAACTAGATCTTTTAGGAAGACAATTGAATGTATCAAAATTTTTGAGAAACTGTTACGAATTAGCTACCAGAGACTCTTTTGGACATCTTCTAATCGACTTGGACCCCCGTACATCAGATTGTTTGAGATATTGTTCAAATATCACACCACCTGGGCCAACAGTTTTTTATTTACCCTTATCTGAAGCAGAAACTACTCCAATCACAAATGAAAAAGAAAAACTTATCTATTCTGAGGCATATGGTACAACTGAAACCTGACCAGCTAAGAAGATTAATTAGAAAAACTTCAAATCGTGAGATCATAACACTTATTTGTGAATGTTTGCTCAATGTAGTCAATGGAAACGTACCCGTTAAAATCGCAAACATCGAACGATTCGAGACAGCATACAAATACTTAATAACTCCAAAAACCAGTGTTGTCAAAAAACGTGCGATTATTTAGAGTAAAGAAGGCTTCCATTTAGTTCGACAAATACTTTATTTTTGTTACAAGTACCTCACAACTTAATGATGACTGCTGAAGAATTCATTCTAATTCCGAAACACTTATATGTTAAAGAGCAGCCACATGCTGCACGTGTTCTTCATGATAATAATATTAAACATAAAAATGCTCAACTGTCCTATCTTAACCGGCTTAGACCCCAATTACCTCCACAAACTAGTAAGACTACTGCAACGAAGGAAACATTTACGGATAATGTTGAGCCCCAACAAGAACAGCTTAAACTGTTAACGGACGATGAAGAAGTACCGGTCGAACGTGTTAAAGACGAAATACTAGAAGAGAAACACAATAGACAGACCGAAAGCATTTTAGGACAGTTACAAGTTTTAGAAGACAAAAAATTTGTTAGAGCAAAAACCGTACTTGAAATCATAGAAAATTCAGAAAGAGTAACCATAAACCGTGACAATGAGGTGATTTATGTAGATAAAGTACCAACAGGACTTAAAGCTACAATATTTTTATACGACATACAACAACCAACGAAAAAATTACACAATCCGGCGTTCATTAACATTTTAACTGCTCTCAACTTGAATGAAAACCTGGTAATAAATCGAAATGCCAAACACGCGGTTCAGTCAGCGCCTATTAACGCTCAAGAGAAACGAGAACCCGGACTCTCAAGAACCCGCTCAACGTCGCCCACTTGGCAGGAAAAAAGTAGTGCAAACCTTAAGAGAAGTAAAAAACACAAACGAAAAAGTCTCAGCGGTAATAGAAAAACCCAAAACCAAAAACGTGAAAAAGAGTCAGAAGAAGGCTCTGACTCATACGGAACGCCCCATAACGATTCAGATTCTCCAACGTCAGAAAAGACGAAGGCGCAAACAAAACAATGGGAAAATTACCAAGATTGAAGAAAAATTGTTGAAAACTAAATACAGTGACAAAGGTCCCGCGTTATTTGGTAGTGTGAACAACTTGATAAAAGCAAGCAATTTG